TCTTTTACCTTAATATATGCCTCAAGATTGTTTTTTTTTCTCTTTTGTGTACAGCCACTTTTAATCTCATACTGCCTATTTCACTATAAGGTTGCTTATAATTTATTTTATTTAGTGTTTTACTTATCATTTAGAACAGGTTGAATGACAGCCCATCTGCCTGAGTAAACAATTTGTTGAGTCCAGTAAATTAAATATGTTGCTGTTTAAAATGTACCATGTTATACCAGATTATAATATAATCTTCTATCTCTTATCTTTGTATTTGCATATTTAACCTCAAAATATTGTCATCTTTGTTACTTTGTTCTAAGAAAGGAGTATATTAGCCATTCACTAGCTAACAATGCTATTGCAAGTTTCTCCTCTTTCATTCCAAATTTGCACTTATGTTTCCAGAGGTCTCTTTTCTTTTTCAAGTAACACCTGTTTTATCTATTTCTGACAAATACTTTGCTGAACTAACTCTGTTGGCCTTGGCAGAACTGCCTTTTTCTGATCTCTCTAGACTTGCCTCATTTAAGTTGCTTCTCTAATACAAATAAGGTAGAAATTGGAAGATGAATTGATATGAAAAGAAAAAAATAGTTTAGCACTTTCTCACAGGGAAAGAGATTTAATGAAAAATCTTGATTTTATACTAGCAAAGAAACATTGGCTATTGTTGTTGTTCTTTTGCAAGTACCAGTCTAAAATAAATAAATGAATAAATAGAAGCTACAGGTAGGAAACTTTAAAAGTTGGACCAGATGATCTTTCAAGGTTGCTTCCAACCTGGACTTTTCTATGATTCTATGCCAATTCCTACCAAAAAGGTACTTCCCGTGGCTGTCACAAATCCCTAGGCATTCCATGAATGCCTAATCTTTATGAGAACAAACTTCACAAAGGACAGCAATGCAATTTTAGATTTTTTTCTCATATTGTAATAAGTTAATTATTATTTTAATATTGTAATCTATGACTTGATTACAGCTGATATAGTACAAATGCAGAACCAAACAGAATAGTGGTTTGGAACATTAGCATGCTAGGGAGTTGAGCACTATGTCCTCTCACCCGTTAACCACCTTGTATTAAGAGATTTATTTTGCCCCTTTTTGTGTCCTTTACAAAATTGTGACTTTAGAGTAAGTTATGATCTTGAAAAAACAGTTAGTTATGGATTGCTGCTTAACTTGTCAAAACAACTCAAGGCAAATGAAGCCTAACCATAGTGAAATATTGGTCTGCTTCATCACGGTACAAGCCTATATATAACCATAGATGAAACTGAAAAATGATAATTGAATGCCAGAGCTTTGGGCTATTTTACAAAGATCGGAGACTGGTTCTCCAGCACAGACTTGAATAGCTTTAGCAGGACATGACCTTGATTAATGCCTTGTCAAGATACTCAGTACCTTTCAATTGTTGTTGGAAGAACACCTGGTCATTACAGGACTCAGGAGAACGGATCTGAACATTGATTTCTGGGTCTGAAACATAAGGATAGGTTTCCTTAATTCCCATTTAGCCATCATCTAACACAGACCTGCTTAAAGGTTTCTTTAGAAGCAGTTTAATTATGTTGCAACTACTTTTTGCTCTAGCTCTGCTGTATTCACAAAGCAGATGTTTTCTACATATAGTCATATATATCTGGAGTACATTTTTACAGTAATCTTAGACTACAAATTTCACAGGATTTGGTCGTAACCTACTTTCACACAATAACTCGTTAATTAATATAATTTTTTAATTTTCTAACACTGTCTCCTCTCTGGTGAGTTTGGGGAAAGGAGTTTCTCTCATCTTAATAAGTTGCATTTCTTATCTTCCTGTCAGATCTCAGAGGGTGAGATAAACACATAAAAGATCTACTGAACATGCTCAAGATCTCTGTGACAAAATTGCTGAAGTGAGAAGGTGTTTAGATGGAAATAAGAGCTGCCACATTTTGGAGCCCAAGCCCACAGCGGGAATCATGTCAGAGTTCAGTCATACTAGCTACAGAAATAATAGCCCACCCTACGGTGAGTCCTAGACCATTTCATACCTTTCTCTGTAACTCAGATACAAAGAAAAGCAATGATGAATATTGATTCAGCAAAATCCATGGGACTAGTGCCTATTCTCTTGTAAATACAAGAAGTTGAACTCTATTAGAAAGTATAAAATGAAGCTCTTTGCACGCTTTGCATTGTAAAAGTATAGCCTCCAAAAAAAACAAGACATCCTCTGAAAGCAACATAGTATTCCTTCATGCACCTAGTATTGTTGCTGATTGAACTTTCTCATTTTCAGCAAGGGAAATGGAGGAGGGAAGATGATATTTCCTCCTTTAGAATCAGTGAGGAATCACCAAGAAATATTTGGATTGTAGCTGTTTTACAGAAAGGGCAGAATCATAATCCTGATATATACTGGAGGATGCTGCTATCCTCAGCAGTTGTACCAAGGCAAAGAATAATCTTCTTCCTCATGCAGGCCAACAGTAAACACCAGAGATTTAGATTTCCAATAAAATTTATAACAAGGACAGACAATGTTAACAAACTGTTGTTTACTTTTTCTGTGTTAATTCTGACAGTAATGAACTTTAATCATGCTCTGAAATGACAGTGCAGCAATCTGTAACAGATATGTAACCAGTGCAAAGAGCAGCACTGAACAATTTTGAGTTAAAATTAATGATCTGTGATCAGCCACAGAGCATCAACATTATAGGCTATGATGATGTTCTTAGACACTGCACATTCATTTGGGTGATTTCCATTGATTTCAATAGTGCCAGGATTTTAAACAAGAGTTTGACTTTCACTCAAAACCTTTGTCGCTCCTTCTCCAAGGTACAATATGACCTTGAGCTTGACCTTCACACAAAACTTTTCTCTCTCTCTCCAAGGTACAATATGTCTTGAATAAGGGGATGTTAGCTTCCAGAAAGGAAGTTGGAATGGGCTTTTGGAGGTCATTTAATGAAATTTGTGGTCATAGGAGACTCAATTAAATTCGGTTACCAAGGATTTGTTCAGTTAAAGTTCGAATGTTTCTAAAGATGGAGATTTCCCAGAGTTTCTGGACAACCTGTTAGAGTGTATCTTAAAATAAATAAATAAATAAATAAAAACCTAAAAACTAAAAATTAAAAAATCCAAGCTGTCAAATCAAAATTTCCTTTATGGAAGCCTCAGTCTATTACCTTTTGTACTATTACCATGAATTTTTGAGAGGAGGAATCTGGTTTTACCCTCTCTATTTACTCCCATTAGGTAGCTGTAGCTAGCAATAAGTTCTCCCTTCAGGTTTATCTTCTTTAGACAGAAATGGGCTTCTCTCACACTCTGCTTGTATCTTCTGCTCTCCAGCTCCATAACTGTCCAGATGGTCTATACTGGGAGCCTTGCAGAAGTCCTTGCATTTGAGGAGTTTGATCCTCCTGAACAGGACATGTCTACCTCTACTGAGCATCCTTCTTAGGGCTTGAGAAACCCTTAACTTAGCATGAGAAGCTATATGGTATATGAACCTGGTGGAGTGCCCCATGCTGGCCTGTGCTACACACTAATGGATGCTATGTGACTGAGATATCCCAATCTGTCATGAAACTTCCTATTAGCTGAATAGATAAGTAATATTGTCGGTACTGTGTAATACTTTTAACAAAGGTAAACTTTATATGTATCAAGGGATGGAATATGATGACCATGACCAGGAGACCATTGTACACCCACAAATAAGTGATCCACGCAGCAGTTAACCTAAGTAGGCCCAGGCATGTGCTGCGCTGCAGATAAAGATTGGCCACCAGGCAGCATTGTGAGGCACAAATCTCTTAGCCACAGCATAAACTCAGCTAGTTCATTGTAACAGAGGAATCTGCAGGCAGCTCCTCCTTGATAGCAGTGATTACACATTGCCTGTGCGGCCATGCCTTTACCTAAAGGTTCAGCAAGATGTTCTTGTGCAGGAGGAAGTTCTCATGTGAGCAACCTTCAGGAACTGAGATGCCTTCTTGTAAGAAAATACATAGTAGCTCAAAGGATTAAGAAAGGCAAACTTTTCTCCAAGGACAGTATCTGCTCAGCATGTCATGTAAAGAAAAAAAAAAAAATAAAACAACATCCAGGATCCATGCAATTCTGCATGAACTCAGAGTTCCCAGCATCTGAAGGGACACAAGAGGTAGTCACTATCTATATTTCTCTTTTTATTATATCTTATTAAAACAACTATTTTCCTATGCTATTTCTTGTAAGGCCTTTCTTATTGAAATATAAAAATAAACCTGTGCTGTGTCTCCATCTCCACACATTGCAGGGAAATCCATCCCTACTTCTACTTTCTGTGTTGTTTCTTTTTGATTTGAGCTCAGTCAGAAGTTCCTTGTTCATTCATACTGGCCTTTTGCCACACCTGCACAAACTGAACAGGAGAACAGTTCGTTCTTGTGCTTTGAGGATATTGTCCTTTAAGATCAAAGTTTTCCTAGCCCCTTTTGATATTCAGGGCAACCTCCCACGGCATCCCAATGAAATCATGCTGTGCAGCTGCTCATGAACTCCTAATTCCTCCTGTTTCCTTCCCATGCTGCATATATTTGGGTGCTGGCATTTGAAACAGACACACAGTTTTGCTGTTTTCAAAGGGGGAAGTGTAGGTGCCTCTGTAAGCATGCTAATCCCCAGACACTTCCTCACTTTCTTCCTTGCCTTCAAGGAAGGCAACTTTTCTTTCAATTTTCTGTAACTATTGCTCCAAACAACCCAATTTAAAGCCTTCCTCATGAGGTTTGCAAACAATGGTATAGATAGTCATGTGTTGCTCTGAGTGAGAATGTGATCTATTTGACAGTAGTCTCATTACTCAGTGTCCTGTAACCATACAAGCCAAAGCCTTGTCTACAGTGATAGCTTAGCAGCAAGGTGATAACCTCGAGGATGCACCTACTTGTGCCCTTCACTTTCACCAGGATGATCAAGGAGAATACCAGGTAAACCAAAGCCTGCAACCCTTACCTCCAGAGCTCTGCAGTCTTGATGCTGCCCAGTTGCCCACACAGGAAGCAGCAAGTAATCTTAACCCAAACGCTGCATAAACCCTTAGTAGTGGCTCCAAAGCACCTTATATTTGAGCCACAGAATGCAGCAAGCCAACTGAAACATCAGTAGCTTCTTCTACAGAAGGAAGCCTCCAACACACTCCTTGGTGAAAATACAGTGTTCAGGCTCATCTGGCTTTGATGCCTCTTCCAACAATTTCTCCTCATTTATTCCCAGAATGTTATTCATATTTTGTAGCGGCAGATCTGCAGCCAGAAAAATAATCTTCTTTGTGTCACTGTAAACCAGTTTTCCAGGATCTCCTCTCTTGGGAGCCTCCATTCATTGCTCCCTTGAGAAAAACTTGTAGCTGCTTTTCCTTTATATCACACCGTTTGAGACCTTGCCTCTGCAGACAGTGTCAGTCTCCTTTCCACCCTCCCCAATGGCACAGTCCGCTCACTTTTTCTACAAGTTTTTCACCTGGTGACTCATCCAGAGCACACCTCCATGGATGAGGCTGCCATCACCCTCATCTCTATTGGGCAGGGGTGCCAGGCACTCTCCACAGCTTTCCTCTGGGACTCTACTAGGAGTAGGCACCCGGAGCAACAATGTGGTACCTCTGGTTGATGCTAGCAACCAAGCCATATGGTGTATCAGCACCATCACTGCACTGTCCCAGGAAATCCCACAGTGTTCTAAATAAAGTTTCCAGGCTTTTTTTTTTTTTTTTTTCTCCTCTTCTCATCTCTTAACCACCTAGTTATAATTCTAACTGTAACAACCACTAGCAAGCCCCTACTTATTTTGTGCTCCTTCTTATCAAATCTAGAGCTCCTACCCACCCACCACCTTGGTACTCAACTTTCCCTTATCAGCTGTCAGCTGAGGACACTGGGTGTAGACACTCCCTAAACGGGAAACAGCCAATAAAAGTTGCTTGCTACAAAAAGCAGAAGCAAAGTTCCCCAGAAATGATTTCTTACCAGCAGCACCAGACCACAAGAAATTCCCAGAAGGTGTCATTACCAGATGTCCTCTGATGTTCAAAGCCTGGAAATCATGATGACAGCTCCTAATTATTTTTCTGGAATCTCAACCTACAAATGACTTACTTAATCACAAGAAACAGGAAACTAAAATTGATATTCATGATGCTGGAGAATACTTTCATGTTCTCATAATAATTGCTTTACTAGCTATGATAAAACCAGAGCAAAAATTTCATAGCTCAGTGAAAAGCAAATCGCAATTGCTTTGGGAAAGTTGCACTTTTTAACTCCCCCATTTTATCTTAGCCATGATTCCTGAGGGAAGGGAAGCCAGAGGTTAGAATGATTTTGAAGGGTTATAATTATTTAAATAGTGACAGAAAAACATCTGTAAGAGGTCCTAAGTGTCTTCTACAACAGGCATCACAAAACATGAATGCAGTCACTGCATGAAGCACCACTTTTACATTATTTAGTCAATGCCTTAGCTGTGACATCTGGGGAAAATCCATTGTCTGACACAGGATGGACCAAGTATCTTTTCAAAGTTATTAGGCAAAGATATGCATGTAGAAGTATGATTGTATTTAAAGGTAAAATCTTAGAGTCATGAAAAGCTATTTTCAAACCAGGGATGTTTGTATGTACTCAGTGATAGGCCACAAAGAGAGACTGCAACATGGCTCGATGTGTAACAGCTATGAAGCCAAAGCCATTTATCTATTTTGACATGATATTGGGCTGAATTGAAAATGTCTGCTGAGGAACTAGTCTTTCTAAGCTGAATCAACATTCTCTGTAAATAAATTTAAACATTGTCTAGAACAGTGCTTGCTCCCATCCAATTAGCTCAGATTATGAGAAGAGCAAACTAGATTTTTTCTGAAACTAACCATGCAAACAGGCATAAGAAACTTATCCTTATTTATGTCAGATTGAAATTTGTGGGACTGTGTGATGACTTGCAGACACCCCTGTGAACCTCTATATGTGTCACTATCACACGCTTGGAAAAGGAGAAAGCACTTTGCAGAGTTTGTTGATTCATTCGGTAGTGTTTTAATATTTCAAAATAAACAAGATAACTATACTTGAACTACTATTCTGTGCTACTGAGCTGTCAGTGAAATTTGAAGGGCAAAAAATCTACAATCCTAAGTCATTATATAGCAAATTGTTAAGATTCTCTGAAATACAGCGAGATAAGGAAATCCGGAATATTTTATTTATCCACTGTGGCAAAATCTCTGCTGCTTGAAGGCACAGAATTGCTTGCAATGGATCAAAGACATGTGTTTGAAAACTGTGCCATTATAGATCATTAGTGAACAGCACAAGAAAATCACTATTGTAATTTTCCTAGCTTTTAGTAAATTATGGTTGTATGGTTACAGTATTACCTCCCACAGTTGTGACATCATCATAACCCTTGCTGGAAGAATACTGAAACTGGAATTTTTAAAAGCTTTTGCCATCATATGATCTAGTTGCTGTAGGACAAGGAGGTTGTATATTTTAACACTGAATAAACTGGATTCCAGTTTGTGTGTGCAGTATTGTTGTCTAATTTGCACTTCCTACATGGATGAAAGTGCTTGGACTTCAGTCTCTGACCTCCCAGTCTACTTGCAAGTGCACACAGAGAGAACAGTAATGTAAGCCCAGGAGCATTGTATTGCTGTAGTACATGGTTAGAGAGAAATAATGTCTATTTTTTATCATTCTTTTGACACACTGGGGAAACATTTTAATACTAGGGGTAAAATGCTATAGAACCTTCACAATAATGCAATTCCTCCTGAGTGTTTTTTTTTTGTTTTGTTTTGTTTTGTTTTGTTTTGCCATTCAGTTACTCTAGAGAAAACCACAATAAAATTTCAAGGACTCAATGTAATATATATATATATATATTTATGTATATATAAAATATATTTATATAAATACAAATATGTATATTTATATTTAACATATATAACAACAGAATGGTATATGACACTGGTGTAACTTGATGGCATCAATAGAGTAGCAAGAATCAATGACAACAGAGTAAGACTCAGTATTGATCACATCAATAAGCACTGATTTGCAAAGCACAAAAAAATCGTCAGTGTTTAGAAAAGGTTTGGAGGTTATTGTAGAATTCAAATAAAATAATTTTTTTGAATAATTGTTATAAAGATCTTAGCATAGATTTAAACTCACTGATTAAGACAATTCTTTTTGAAGTCAACTTACTCATAATTTATGCATAGTGTATGTCAAAAAAAACCTTAGGTTTAGAAAGAGTGAACACTTTGTTATAATCAATAAATCAAACTCTCTTTATAGCTAAGAACCTATGGGAAAAGTAACAAACAAAAAAACCCTCACTTTTGTCTACTCTCATTAATGATGGAGAAATGATAGTCTGGATAAAAAATGAATCAGTGTCTGTAAAAAAAAAACATCAAAAGGATAAATCTTGGAGCTCAAAAGTTTTTTTGTTTTGTTTTGTTTTATCTCTATATATCTGTTTCTAGCACAAGTAAAATGGATTTATTTATTTATTTAATGCAAAATTACTCTTGAGGCATCTTTACATTACCATACCAAACATGAGCCATACAAATAGAAGGTGATATAGAATAGAAAGAAATAGAAAGGTGATATAGAAGGTGAATAGAAGACTTTGTGATTCTTCATTCATGTCAACAAGATTACCCCTGAACTCAGAAATTAGGCAAGTCTAAATTTATAGGAAGAGCTAGAAACTTCTCCTTCCTCTAATCCTCTTTTTAAAGGAATTGGAAAAAAAACTATTAAAAAAAAAAACTTTATTATTGCAAATGCTAAAATGAAATTTTAGCATTTTAAAAAATTAATCATGTTGCAAAATTAAGATTCTGCAACATGAACAAACTTTTGCATCGTGTGTCTACACTTGGGTACAGGCGCATCTAAAATGACTGCATATACGATAAAGTAAGTGCTGTTATGTAATTCTTAACAGCAGAGATGGATGTTGGAAAAGAAAGAAGAATACTTAATATCTGGAAAGGTGCATCTACATTGATATTTGATTCAGTTCATTTTCTTTCACTGTAGTTCTGCAACCACTTGCAATCTGTATACTAGGTTCATTTGAGATCACAGCCTATAAGCTAAGAACTGGTTCATCTCCATGATGAAACCTGGGTGCAGAACAAAGTATACTTTTCAAAGGGTCTGCTCCTTACACAAACATAAACATGAGCAAGCCCTTGCTTTTCAGATGGTTTCTCAGCAACTGCAGCCTCATAAAGACTGAGAAGATATATCTATTTCTCTGCCAAATTGCAGAATTATATTGAAGATGAATAACAAATTTCACAGCTTTTGAAATACAGATAAAACAAATCAACACCTGCTGAAAACTGTTCTAAATCTTCCTGATTTGTTTGAGGTTAAAAATGAACCTATTCTAATTATAAAGGAATCCTTCCAAATCTAAACTTAAATCTGAGCCTAGGCTAGGTTTCCTATAAACATAAGGCAAAAGCTGTCAGTGATGCTTATGAAAAGAGAACATGATCCAGGAAATATTTCACCCTTACTTGAAGAATTTCCTCTTAACTTGCAAAATTTTTAAGCTTGTGAAGGGTGAGAACAAGTGATAAATTTAGTTTGGGAGCAAAAGCAGAAAGAAGGCACATAATCATGTAGAACAGTGGGTTTTATTTGTTTGATCGATTTATTGGTTTTTTTTTATTATTATTATTTTTATTTATTTACATATTTTGTAAACTAAACATCTCCACTTTATATTAACTAAGCTGTGTGGCCACAAAAGCAACAGCCTATTTTTGCGTTAACAATGTGTGCGTATTACTGTGGTTAAAATTTCTCATTCTTCTGACCTGCAATGGGCAGTTTGCAACTATGCTGCAGTCTGCCACAGAGTGATATATTTACCCACAGAGAACAAGAGGTAGTATACAAAATGTTGCTATACAAACTGGTGCTACACAATATTCTCTAAGGACAAGCACAATCACTACAATAATGATGAATATCAGGACATTGTAATAACTGAACGTATTTTCCCCATTTATGCAGCATCACTGTTACAGAGCACAGCATAACCACATTTCTTTCTGCTTTTTCAACTGTGCTATGAAGACCATGTTGTAAAAAAATAAATAAATAAATAAATAAAAGTAAAACATCACTCTGCTAAGTATGACTGCAGTAAAACAGAAGGGTTTTATGTTTGAACCATAGGTATCAGTCTGAGTTCCTTCAGCTTTCACTATTGCTAAGTGCTTCTGAAGCTAAGTCCTCAGATTTTTTTTTTTTCCTGAGCTAGGTAGGAAAACACCAAAAACCTAACATAAAGACAATGTAACATTTTCTAGTATGCTTGATATGTTGAAAGAGAATAGCACCAATGACAAAGCAATGGATTGGTTACTGCCACAAGAAATTGTAGCTCTTGTAGTTAAATCATTAGTAATTAAAGGATTAATTTTGCTGGTATTTACTCCCACATTTGGATTAATGTGCATGTACAGCTGTGATCAGACAGTTGCAGAGGGCTGTTGAACTCTCACTCTGTGGAAATATTTGGTAGAATCTAAATTGGAGCTTTGTTGCTACTGCTCCTCTGCCCTACATCTATTCCATCCGCCTGGAGATGAAGGTCTGCTCAACTCTGGTCTGAGGAGGCTGCTAAAGAATAATGCCTGCCAAGCACATTATGTGAGTAGCTCACTTTCTCCTTTGTATTTTGCTCTTTTTTTTTTTTCTTTTTCCCCAAATCCAAATT